GAGGAGCGCGGCCGCCGGACCGCGACCGGAGGGGGCCGGCGGGGCCGGCGCGGCGGGACCCTCCCCCGAGACCGCCCCGAACGTTCCTCCCAACTGCGTAAGGCTCCCGGGACCGGGACCTCGGACATCGGGCTCGCGACGGGCGCGTCCCTGTTTTACAGGGACAGGGACCGAGGCGCGGACCTCAGAGCAGCCCGGCACAGCCCCGGGAGGGTCAGGGCGCCCTCCTCGGCTACTCCCGTCCCCTTCGTCCGTCCTGGTCGCGACCAGAGGAAGGCCCCTTCCCCTCTCTGAGCCTCGGTTTCCCGCCTGTTAAACAGGAGACGGGGCAGAGGGACAAGTCCGGGCCTCCTTGGCGCCGCCCGGGGCGCAGGGTCCAGAACGCCCTGGACGCTGAGTTGGGATCCCGGGATGTCCCCACCGCCGCGGCGATGGGCACGGCCTGGCAGGCGCCCTCCACGACCTGCCCCCTGCCTTCGAGGAGGAGGCGGGACGGGCCTGGGGCGGACCTCGGCCAGCTTCACGCGGGACCTGGAGGTCCTGTCGCGAGTCGAGGGGGGAGGGAGGGGGATGTGTATGGAACTCGGACGCGGCCCGGGGCGACGGCTCGGTCAAGTTTTCGGAGTCGAGTTTAGCTGGAGACTGTGACCCCGCGGCCGGCTCCTTACTTCTCCCTGCCTCGGTTTCTCATCTTAACGTCAACAATTCTTCCTGGAGGGCAGGTTCATAATCCACCCCCTCCAGGAGGCAGGGGTCGACCTGGTGCCTCGCACTGTCCAGATGGGAACACCAGGAGGGCAAGGACTGGGCCCCCGATTCACCCGGCTGTCCCGGCACAGCTCAGGCCTCTGTCAGTACTTGCGGAATGAATGAATGGATGAATGAATGAATGACTCTAGTCTCTAGTTTCTGTAAGAGGAAGAGTTCGGGCTCCCTAGGATCATTCCTGCTCCCCTTTCCGTCCCCCCTTCACTGAGCGACAGGGATCAGCTTATACAAGTGGAGAAGGTGGCAGGAGGAAGAAGAGGAAGGATTTACATTTTAAGGAGGATCAAGTCCTCTGCTGCCTGGGATGAGGGGCTGACAGGCTAATTCAGGTATTAGTGGGTTAAGACAGGAAGGGCGGCAGTGACCTCCCAACGATGCCCTCTCCCCTCAGAGTGTGCCCTGACTAAAGACAGTCCCCTCCCCGACCTGTGCACACGCGCGATTCCCACCCAGCCCGGGAGACCCCACCCCCATTAAAATTTTTTCCTTATTACAATTTTAGAAGGAAAAAAAATGATGAGTGAAGGAATGAAATAAGATGGTTTTAATCCCATCACCAGAGACACTAAGATGTGTCACACTTCACATACCGTTTTGTAACTGGTTTTTAGTTTACTTTTTGCTGTCAAACTTTTAGTTTGTTATTCTGCTCAGAACTTCGCAGCTATACTCTCTGGAGCATCTTTTCTGCTTCCTTAGAGGATATTCCTAGAAATGGAATCAGTGGCACCCACTGCACTGTTTGTGTCGATGCTCCTGCCACACGCTGCCAGCTGCCCCCAGACTGCTGGAGCTCTGAGGCTGGCTGCTGCTCCCTGCTCGCCCGTCCCATTGTTGGACTCTGGGTTTAAAGAGCTTGTCTCTGCTGCCTTGGAACTGCAGCCTCTTCCTAGCTAGGGTGACCCTACTGGGTCTAGAGTAAGTCTCCCAATGCTCTCCCCTGGATTACGTCCCCTCCCAGGTCCCCTCTTGCCCCCACTATCCTGGCTCTGGGAGCTCTGCTCAGATTAGACCCCATGATGACCCCCATCGGGTCCTGCAAATATATGTATAGAGTGACGTCCATTAATCCAATTAAGAGTCGTATTCCAGCCCCTCCATCCCACCCATGTCCAACCCTCAATCTCTCCCCACACATGGCTTCCTCCCCATCTCAGTCTGATGCAGTGGTCAGCCAGCAACCACAGGTGCCTACAAATCTGGGTCTGTGCCAGGCACCCAATACCCTGTCCAGATGAGCACTTGGCCTCATGGGGTAAGGGGAACCAGGAGAGGACAATTGCAAAGACACAGTCCAGCTCTGACTGGCTGGGCCCTGGGATCTGACCATCCATTAAGCTGACGCTGCCCCCCAGGTGCCCGGGAATGTGCCTCCAAGGGGAGCGAAGAGATGGGGCAACCCAGCTGAGGGGTGACCCCTTTACCCTGGACCCTGGGGGTCCCTTGCCACAGCGAGGCTCCAGGGCACTCGCCCCTTATTTCCTCTGCCTGCCCGCCCCAGCCTGTGTCACCAAAAATTGTCCATTGATCCAGGCTTAAAATAACCCCTGGCATCTGCAGTGAGCCCCGCAGGGCGGGCAGAGGAGCCGAGTCTCTGCGCCTGAAGGGCACCCACCCCGCCCCCAGCTCCGAGTGCTGGCAGTTTGAGTGCGCAGGTGTCAGCATGTGCTTGTGGATGTGAGTGAGTGTGCATGTCCGGGGCTAGCATGGGCACGCGCGTACATGTGTGTGTCAGTGTGGACGCGCCTGTGCACACATGTCCTTCCTTCACTGTTGAGCCTGGTGCCTTGCTCTGGCTGTGGGACCCTGGGGGTCCTGTGCTGGGCCTCAGTATCCCCATTTTAGATGCTAGATTACGAGTCTGCCAGCCCTGCCCAGCCCTGGGCAGCAGGGTTTGGGATTTCCTAGACAGAAACCCAAGACCCAGAGAGGGGAAGTGACTTGCCATGACTGGAACACAGCCAGGAAGGACCAGGATATGGCCTGGAACCTGCACTGTCAGCCCCAAACCTGGCTTCTGGCTGGTTCAGTACAAACAGAGAGCAGCTGGAGGGCCCTGGCCCAGAGCCCAGGGAAGCGTTTCCTACACCCCAAGAGCACACCGGCCATTGCCTGGACCAGACATGCCCTGAGGCCCTCAGGCCTTCACACAGGCTGTTCTCTCTTTCTGGAAGCC